AAAAAAGATTAACTACAGGATTGCTACAATTTTGCATTCTGGGACTCGGCCGAGTTCTTGGCCTCCCCCTTTGGGGGAGATGAGTTAAGTTGGAATCTTGTGTACATAGTAGGGTGACACTGTTGGTATTTTATGAATAATTTTGATAAATATTGATCAAACTTTTCACTTATAAGCCTATATTTTTCTTCATCTAAATTCATCCATCTTTGATCGATTCGGACAAAACCTATGATTTGGAGATTTATTCATTGGGTTTTGGTGAAAAGGATTTGTATTTTGAACCAACCACCTAAACATGGATCTCTCTCGTTTTTCATCCTAATCCATTGAAATCTAGTGTGATTTATTCTTTATTCAGCTGTTTACAAGATCCCTATATTTATTTGTTTATTGAAAAATCTCGGTTTTAGTGAGAAAACAGATTTCAACACAAACCCTAATCTATCTACCATTCCATTGATTTCTCCCTCGTTTTTTATCCAAAACTATTGAAAATTGGTTTTATTTAATTGTGATTCAACCCTCTTCGATAACCCCATGATCATTTGTTTGATTAATAGCTAAAAAAATAGTTTTGAATTGCAAGTTCGCAGTTTTTTTTTTTTAAGTATTTTCCATAGCCTACAATTTTTTGCACTATCAAATATCTTTTTTGAGAAATATTTCATGTTTTACATTAATCCCAACTTTCTAAGTTTGTAGCATTTTTTCAATTTTTTATTTTATTTTTTCTAAAGCATAGATGATATGGGGCTTCTTGGGCGAGTCCATTCAGACATACGCAAGTAACTTCGCTCATTCCACCTGGCCTGAGTCGATTTCAAAATGTTTGTGTGGAATAGCTTTTCAAAATATTTGCCTAGATAAAGATGGCTGTAAAAAAGTAATAAAAAGTTTGAACAGTTAGAAAGAGATGTTCATTTTTTTATTGAAAAGGTAGGAAAGGGTCTGCGGTTGTAGCGGTAGCATCACAACACCGAATTACCACGTAATAGTATCCATTCTTACCGACCAATTAACACTTTAACTTTCTAATCTATTGAAAAATCGGATAGGGTTTGTTTCCTTAGTCGGTGGCGTGGGTTGCCGAGAACATCATGGAAAGAAAGACTAAGAACAACATTAGGATAAGGCTGTTCACAACTTTGTTTCACCCAAATTTCAGCTTACTCAACATACATAAAAGCTTGTTTGGATCCCTCGTTTTGAATATGAACAACATTACGATACGGGTGTTCAACTTTGTTTCACCCAAATTTGAGCTTCCTCAACATACATAAAGGCTTGTTTCGATCCCTGGTTTTGAATATGGTGTTTGGATCAAATTTTTATGTTTGAATTGCTTGGAATATTTTTTTTTTGGAAATGCAAATCCTTTATTTCTCCCTCTCTAAAAGTTTTTAGCTAGATTCTCTCTTTAAAATTTTTTCTAAAATTTTAATACCATCTTATTTTAAAAATATAAAATTTGAAATAGTCTCTCTCTCACTAAAAATTTTGGGATAGTTTCCTTTTTAAAAATTTTATGCACTTTCTCTCTCTAAAATTTGATATAATTTCTCACTCTAAAATTTTGAGATACTTTCTATCTCAAAAACTTTAAATTTGGGATTGTTTCTCTTTGTAAACATTATGAGATAGTTTTTCTCTCTAAATAATTTCAAGTACTTTCTCTCTCTAGAATAGGATATATTTTTTCTCTAAAAGTTTAAGGTACTTACTCTATCTAAAACATAAAATTTGAGATAACTTATTTCTATAAATTTTAAGATAGTTTCTCTCTCTAAAAAGTTTTAGGTACTTTCTTACTCTAAAATTAAAAATTTTAAGATAATTTCTCTCTCTAAAATTTGTTTGGTACTCTTTCACTATAAAATTTGATATAGTTACTCTCTCTAAAATTTTAAGATGTTTTCTGTATCTAAAATTTAAATTTTGTTATAGGTTCTCTCTCTAAAATTTTAAAGTAGTTTCTCTCTCTAAAATTTAAAATTTGATATAGTTTCTCAATCTAAATTTTTTTAAATAGTATTTCTCTCTAAAAATTTCAGGTACTTTTCTCTATCTAAACTTTGATATAGTTTCTCTATAAAGTTTTAAGATATTTTCTCTCTGTAAAACTTAAAATTTGAGATAGTTTCTCTCTCAAAAATTTTCAAGTAGTTTCTTTATCTAAAATTTTAATATATTAACTCTCGCTTTCTAAAACTTAAAATTTGAGATAGTTTCTCTATCTAAAGTTTTAAAATAGTCTCTCTCTCCAAAAAATTTAGGTACTTTCTTTTTCTAAAATTTGATATAGATTTATCGCTCTAAAGTCTTAAGATATTTTCTAACTCTAAAACTCAAAATTTGATATAGTTTCTCTCTCCAAATTATTTCAGATAGTTTCTCTATCTAAAATTTGATAAAATTTCTAAAATTTAATATGCTCTCTCTTTAAAACTTAAAATTTGAGATAATTTCTCTCTCTAAATGTTTTGAGATGCTTATTTTTTAAAAAAAAAATTAGTTTCTCTCTCTAAAATCTGATGTAGTTTCTCTCTCTAAAATTTCTCTCTTTAAATTTTAAGATACTTTGTCTCTCTAAAAATTAAGATTTGAGATAGTTTATCTCTCTAAACTTTTAATTTGATTTCTTTAAAACTTTAAATTTGATATAGTTTCTATCTTTAAAAATTTGAAATAGTTTATCTCTCTAAAAAAAATTGTATATTTTCTCTCTCTAAAAAATTTCGTATGCTTTCTCTCTCTAAAATTTAATATAGTTTCTCTCTAAAATTTTAATATATTTTCTCTCTCTAGAATTTGATATTGTTTCCCTCTTTAAAATTTTAATATGTTTTCTCTCTCTAGAATTCGATATTGTTTCCCCCTCTAAAATTTTAATATTTTTTGTTATTCAGTAGCAAAATGGGTCATTTCCATGAAATGTCAATTCCACCTATTTTGATGGGATTGATATTTCCAAAATTTAGGTTTAAAATGAGCATTTAGGAATCCCACGAAAATGTCAATTCTAACGAAAATGTCAATTCTAAGTGAACCAAGCATATCCAGTTTTTTTCAAAAAAAGTGACTCCTACAAATCTGAATCCAAATAACCAAACGGACCTTAAATGTAAAAATAAATGCTTTTTCAAGTTTGGCTCAAAAGTGATTTGAGCCAAAAGCTGAGAACACCACATTTGCTTAGTTGGGTTTTGGGACGAAGAACCTTACTCCACTTTACCCTGGATCCCTTCCTTGTTGGCGTAGGCATTTACCCCCTTGCATGTTACCAGCTAGGCAACAATATCTTTCTTACCATGAGCACGGAGGTTTTTACCGCAAAGTCGTAGAGCATATTGTTTATTTTACTTTTTTTTTTTATTATTATTATTATTAGAGCTTTATTCTAACTATTTATGATCCGCTACACAAATTATGTTTTGTACAGCGTAGATTTAAGATTCATGATAAGTTGTGGCAAAGTTTTACATAAGCTTTATCCTAATTATTTATGGTCTGCTACACAAATTATGTTCTGTACAGTGTAGATTTAAGATTCATGATAAGTTGTAGCAAAATTTTACATAGGCTACCTATCTAACATAACCCTCCTCAGGGCTTGGACAAGCATAACTGTTAGGGAACCAGCCAAAGCGGAGTTACCTATCGCATTCCATATTCTTGGAAAAATGGAAAATGTGGTAAGATTGAATAGGGACAATCTAATTTTCTTATATTTAAGAGTTAGAGAATTCAAAATCCAAATTTTTTGTTTTGAGACTAGTCAATCTAGTGATACTTAGGTGGTTTCGAAGATTTGAAATCCAAGAATTCTCCATACCGAGTCTTCTACCAGAGGGAGTAAATATAAAGTATGATACTACAGGAGTTTAGTATAGGCACTTCAATAAGAAGCAGCAAACATGAAAAACGAGTTTCCATTTCCATCCGTGTAGGAAAAGTCGGCCAATTAACTCGGACTTGAGCACTAGTCGAACCTGAGTAGTGCCAATTTCCCTGGCCGCCCTTTAGGTGATACCGTTATGATGCATTAATCGGCCGATTTACTAAATAAATTAGCCAATTTATACACTAATCAACCAATTTTCTAGACTAATCCACGATTTGTTAAAAAACTTGGGTGATTTCTACCATGTTATGGCAAAAGTGACAACTGACGAGGGGCCGCAGATGACATGGAGGAAGACAATGACGACTTTGATGCAGATGACGACGTTGATGATGGGTAACATGAGATGATTCGTGTGAGCCACCAATCATAGAATGTACGGTGCCACGCGGTACTAGGACCTCCACTAGAGAAAACGAGGGGCTTAGATTGGTTCATGAAGAAGTCGAGAGAGAGCCAGACATAGAAGCTACACCCCCGAACAAAGATGCACAGTTGGCGGGCATCGTAGGCTAATTATTCAGGCGACAATGCCAATGAGGGGCAAAACACAATCCAAAGAGGCTAGGAGCATGTGCAACTTCAAAATCTAGGAACTTCACATGGTAGTATTCTTATTTGGCAAGGAGATACTGTTGTTGCCCAACAGACTCTATCGGATTTCACGACGATTTTTAGCCCAGTCAACTTTGATAGAGAAACTCAAAAAAATCCCTAATCTCATAGACAATCTTATTACTTTTGAGTAATATGGTTTTTACTACTGTATAATATATAATTTCCTTCAATTACTTATTCAAAAACTCAAAAAAATCCCTAATCTCATAGTCAATCTTATTATTTTTGAGTAATATGATTTTTAATACTGTATAATATGTAATTTCCTTCAATTACTTATCCATTGAAAGAGTATTGCCTTAGGTCCCTAAAATTTTTGCCAGGAACCAATTATGCTTATAATAGTTTTTTTTGTTCGGTTGGATTGGATCGCATGCTACCACCACGACTCAGCCCCTTTGCGAACTCTTCTTCTTTTTACTTGTAGCATGGGTCATGCTCACCTTTGTTGTTGAAAACATGTGGCACGAAACTTAATGGTATATTTCGCTATCAGAATGTAATGTGGGGCCTTCCAATAATTAGGTGTATTAATGATTACATGAGGGAGATAAAGAGGTACAGCGATTAATGGAAGCCGAGAGCACAACGTGGACCAAGAGAGATCTTGCTTGCTTCGTGGATACCTTTCGTCGTTGGCATTGCCAGAAAGAGACACACAGCATAGCCGCCCACACATAAATGGACGCTTTTTTCATAATTTAAAAAATATATAATTGACCTCTCTTTTTCTGCCCTTTTGCGAAGACATGATGTCCCCAGAATATCTAAAAATAATTGCTGCATTTCACCTTTGATATTCTGTTTCTTCCCCCCAAGGGAAGGCATGGAATATTGGTGGCTCAGTGGCAGGAATAGGATCGAAGGTCAATTTCCCGAGTCCAGGCGGATTTATCCTGAAAGTGGATGTGCCAGTACGTCTGCGCCAGTGCGTCTGGATCCATTAACCCCTCGGACTCAGAGGCCGCCTCTGCTCCTGCTCCTGCTACTGCTCCTCTGGTTGATGATGAGCTTTCGGAGTACCTGAAAGTAAAAACGTGAAAACCTTTCAAGAGGAAGAGCTCCTCTCCTATCCGAAAGCTGGATGCCATTGAAAAAGCTTCAAGTACCCTGGGGGACGAACCGAACCATCGATGACTATGTGAGCAACGTGGATACCCTGCGGCTGGAATTCGTCGGCAAGACACTGGGACAAGCCCCTCAGAGCAAACTTACCACAACCTTGAAAAGGAGCACCATAATATCAAGTATGTATTCAATTAGCTGTAATTCAATTGCAGGGAACAGGCGGAAAATATTAGATCTTACTCAGCTCGCAATGGCCGGGGAGGCCGCGAAGGGAGACCGAAGAGCCGGTGAAGAGGATGGTACCACGCCTCCTCTCCACCATCCCAGGGATGACAGATTGGGCACATTGGAAGGCTCCAACCGCCGACACCGCTAGCGCATTCTCAAAGGATTCGAGGCTCACATTCTGAAAGTTGCTGCCCTGTGCATGTGGTGGATGGGGGGCACAGGCGTTGTACACCAGCACCTCCACGAACCCAAGCGACAGCACCCCTTCGAACGCCTCCCGCACACTCTTAGGGTCAGAGCAGTCGATCCTTATTGCAAACACCTGACCCTTCTCCTCCCTTGCTATCTCATCTGCGAACCTGGACAACTTGCCTGTACATAACCTTAATGTCAAAGAAATAAACACATATGCACAAAAATGAAAGGAGACTGCATTTTATGTGTAAGATAATGGATTTTTGAGTTGCCTAGGTCTCTGGCGAGTATGGCGACTGTGTAGCCTTCATGAGCAAACTTGCGAGCAATGGAGCGGCCGAGACGAGGACCGACGCCGACCACAGCAACAATGCCTTTGGGGGCAGGAGCTGCGGTCATGGCTAGAGTCTTCTTCCTCTTCTTTGCATTGGATGGCTTAGAGGGAACGGAGTGTGGTGATGTTGTCGGATCCGCCAGCACCGTCGGATATGACTGACGAGAGGGAGTGGGGTTCCTCCTTCACCAGTTGTGAGAGGGGCATTTGCTTCTTCTCCTGTTAATTCAGCTGGACTGAAAGGTCAGGGAAAGACAGTAGATCTTTTCTACCAGTAACTTACACAAAAACAGATTACAGTCCGAACATGTTGCTTTCCTTCTCTCCCAAATCCTCCCTCGCAGCCTCCTCTCCAAATACCCCTCTTCCCTGTCTCTCTCTTGTTGCTTTTCCAAATGGAATTAAATGGTGGGTAGGTGCCCCATTGGCCCCACCTTCTACTTTCCCCACTGCACCTAATTCCCGTTTGCTCTACAAGGGTTACAGCTGACAAATGTGCGTCCTTACTCTTTGTCTAGGGAAATACAGGTGAATAGAGCAATGGGATTTAACCATTTCTCACGGTTCAAGGGTTGAGTAGAGTCCATCACTTTTCCGTCCTACATTAATTTATCTGTTCACACAATTAAATGGGAAAAGGAGTCTCCCCAATTAATTGAAAAAAGTTATGATAATGATTATTTTTCGTCCATTTAATTGAGAATTTACATACCAAATTAGAAAGCAGTGAGTGACCCCCAAGTTGTGTGCAAAACTCAGGTATATAAAAATAATTTAGGTAAAAAATATAGTATTGAAAGATTTTTTTGATGTATGAGATATAAATGTTTTGGCCAACACTGGTGAGTATGTTTAGCCATAATCCCTATTTTTTTGTTTACCTCTTTTTATATTTATAGAATATCCCCAACATTAAATCAAGGAAAAAGTTTATACATTGTTGCAAACTTAAAATGTAGAATTACGGTGCACTTCAAAAACGCATCATAAAACGTTGTTTTGATGATGGAAAGCCCTCTAATTGATCATCTCAACATCAAGATGGATGAATATGAAAAGAAAAAAAGATTTTGCAATATTCATTATAAAACGTTATTTCAAATCTTTTTTTCTTGCAATACATTATCTAAACCGTCTACTTTCAAGATTTTTAAGCATTCATATATCTACTTGATTTGAACCATTTTAAGAGTTTAGAATTTTATAATTAGAGATGAATATAGATTCTCAAGCCATCCTAAGAATATTTTGCTCCAAAATTATATTTATGATAAAATTTGGAGGTGTGCCTTAATTTGATTGTTTAAGGTTGCAACCTTATACAAACTACACCCTTCAATGAAATGTTTCAAGTCCACATTTTCTATACTTTTTTAAGGTTTTTTGGACTTTCTTAGGTTATTATTGGTTTTATTTTACTTTTACAACCTTTGCTTTAGTTTTCATAATTTTTATTTGTTTTATGTTTCTAGGGCTTTTTGGCCTATTATAAGACTTGGGCGAATCACTCAGATTCACCTAGGTAGCTCGCCCCTGCCAAGGGCCAAGTCCCATGACGTTGCTACAAAGGACATGAGTGTATAGAAATAATACATTACTGGGCATAAGATTGACATGGTAGAAATGAAATGGCTAGAAGATAGAAGGGCTCAAGACTACATGGTCAGGGTGTGAATGGGCACTACTTGACATCTTAAATTCCACTAGTATTATGGTAGGGAACCTTTTCCCTACGAAGCTACCAAATAAAAAGGGAAAAATATCTTTTAACCTTCTGGATTAACTTTACACACTTTGAACCCATCAATTTACCTCAAACAAATGTTAGAAAGATATGTCTTTATAAACCTTATTTCTCTCTCTTCACGTGTTTCTCCCCAAACTTCTTTTTTTCTCTCTCTCCCCGTGATTCTCTCCAAACCTCTCTCTCTCTATACACTTTCTTTCCCCAAATTTCTCTTCCAACCACCAATAATTGAAAAGAAAATTAAGCCATGGGAGAAACATGGAAAGACGAGAGAGAGAATGAGGTTTAGAAAGGGAAGTCTTTTTAACATTTGTTTGGACTAAAAAGATGAGTTAAAATGGAAAAAGTTCGTCCAAGAGATTAGAAGATATAATACATGAGATGCCTGCGCTAAATATGTTTTGAAACCTTGGGTCTGTTACGAAATAAAATCTAAAAATAGAGTGGACGGAGATATTTTCCTAAAAAAAGATAGAAAATTATGGAATCTCCCATATTTGGAACAATCTTCCCAAAATATACCCTATTGAAAAGTCTATCTCATCTATTGTCGCAAAGTTTTTTTGTTTTTCCTCATTTATACCCTAAGGTAGATTTTAGGTAATGTAAAGATCAAATTGCTCTTACTAAATGGAAGTCTAACTAAAAAATTAATATCTCACTCTTTCTCTTTCTCTCTCGCAACTTCCATTTTAAATTCACCCTCTCCATCTTTCACATATACTTATCTCTCTCCCCTTCTCTCTGTAATGTTCTCTTTCAAAATTGTTTATCCTGAAAGCTCCACCCTCCACTATAAGAGCCTCTGTTTCTCCAGGCGTCATATAAAGAAGTATCAACTACTTATTTATTTTCTTTGGGTGTACCATATCTGTCTTTGTTCGAGATAGGAAGGGATCTATTGCTTATTTATGATTCCTTTCTAGAGAGAGAGAGATGGCTCCTCTTTCATGTATACTTCTTGGTGAGTTGGTGGTAGAGATCCTTGTTACATTGCCAATAAAAATAAATACGCAGATTAAGAGCAGTGCACAAATTCAGGGACGAATTCTTCACCTCTTACTAGTCCAACAGTACTTTCTTTCTACATTCTAAGATCTATTGGGTTTGGTGATAGCCAAATCACCATACTCACATTGCATTCTAAAGATTAAAGATATTATGGTAAAAAAGAAAGAGACTTTATTAAGAAACGAGAAAATGACCTCTATATAAGAGAGTCAAGGAAGACATAATACTTATCCTTTTAAAGGTCACCCCTTTTCAAGTTCTTGGGAAATGAAATCCAAGGAGGAGATGGATCTCTAGGAGAGGGAGATATGACCTAATGAACATAAGCAGATTTTTGATGGGATTTTGGGTTGGTAAAGTTTCACTTCTAGAGAGAGTGTCTCTCGATTACTCTCAAGATTCTCTTTTCTGTAGCAATGTAGTGGTAGGAAATATGAGGTTGATCATACTAGTTAGCTATAGCTATCAAAATCCTAAGTGATAAAAATTTGCAATTAGAGAAAATGTTTCATCATAGTCAATACCTTCCTTTGGGGTGATCCCTTTGGCTACTATTCTAGCCTTGTATTTCTCGAGTTTCTCTTATGAGTTCAACTTCTTCTTGAAGACCTAGTTGCACCCAATAGGTTTACAGTTATGACGTAGAGACACTAGTTCCCTAACATGGTTTTAGAGTAGGCATTGTATTTCTCATTCATTGCTGGTACCTAATGATTCTTTTTGGGACAGGTTGTGTCGTCTTTGTATTTGGTCCGCTCATGGTTTGATTCATCCCTATAGAGTGCGCTCATTTGGTCTGTCATAAATGCACTCTTTTCCATGATATATACACCCAAGGTGGGGTTCACAGGGTTCTTGAAATTTGATGACATAACTTATGCCCTCTTCCTACCATGTATTCACGCCTACACCCCTTTACTTGATGGCAAACTGTTGTGAAGAGTAAAGAATTTCAAATATTTTGAATTCCCTCCGACTTAAATCAGAAAGCTAGTGAAGAGTAAAGAATTTCAAATATTGTGAATTCCCTCCGACTTAAATCAGAAAGCTATCCAATTTCTTAGAGTAGACGCAATGGATGAGTCTGGAGTGAATCTTTTACCACATCTCTACACAACCGATATCCATATCCCCTGCGAATAAACACAGTCAAGCCGGAGGTGACATATATTATTATTATTATTATTATAATGGAAAAAGAAATACTCAAAAGCTCCAGAAGTTAGGCCAATTCCTCTTTGTTGCAAAAGAGATCAGGTGGGGAGACGATAATAAAGAGCCAATCAAGAAAACCATTTATCCCTAGGGTGGCATTTGGAAGATCATAGTGCTTTGAAAATAGGTTGAGTGAAGCCCCTATGCTGAATAAAATGCCAAGGTTCCTCTACCGAACATGCTCTTGTAAGGCCTTTAGATGGCTACAAAATTCCAATGAAATGTTGGTTTATATGATGAAAAAGAAATCAGATGCCTTCAATTGCTTCAAAAAGTTTAAGGCCTTGGCAGAAAATTTGAAAGGATAGAGTATCAAGTTTCAAAAACTTGTTAATGGGGGAGAATTTTGATCTAGTGAATTTTTCAAATCTTGTAGTGAGTATGGTATTTATAAGTAGTTGAATTTTTTGCAACCCCTTAGAAAAATGGAGTTGCAAAGACAATGAATAGTACTCCTATAGAGTGTGCTAGGTGTATGTTGAGTACTGTCGGATTAGTATATTGCATCTGGGCATAAACTGTACATATAGCTTGTTTTCTAGTTAATAAGTGTCCTAATGTTGCTATTTACTGTGAAGCACCAAAAGAGATTTGCTTAAATAAACATGCTGATTATTATTTCCTTTGTGTTTTTGGGTGTGATGCTTATTCCTTGATTCTAAATAAGAAGCGAACTAAGTTGGATGCAAAATCCAATAAGTGCATTTTCCTTGGCAATGTAGTTGGTACAAAGAGGCACATATTGTGGGAACCTACTACCCAAAAGATTATTGCTATCCAAAATATTATTTTAGTGAATATTCGATATAGAAAAAGAAAGATAAGCTAGATGAAAAAGATGTGGTGGTGGAATGCCTCGTGAGAAGTAACAAGATTGTAAACATGACCAAGAGCTTAAAATTATCTAAGAACATGAAAAATTTTAGGTAGTAATGAATTGAAAAGATTTGAAAGATCTAAACAAGCCAAAATAAGGCTTAACAGCTTTGTCTTGTCCTATGCTTACTACACCGAGGAAGGTAAGCCAGTTTCTTATTGTGAGGCATATAAGGTCAATAAAGCAAGCCAATAGAATAAGCATCCATGGATGATGAGATGGAGGACCTGTTTAAAAAAAAAAAATGGGACCTTCTTGAATCACCAAACAAAAGGAAATTGGTTGCCAGAGGGTCTTCAAGAAGAAGAAAGGTCTTGATGATGCTTTGAAACGGTATAAAGCTTGATTATTGTGAAAGGTTATGCTCATAAGTCCGGGATTGATTTTGATGAAATTTTGCTCGTCTATTGTGTGCATGACTACTATTAGAGTTGGTTTGGCTATGTTGTTTTTGATTTACAGTTGGAATAATTGGATTTAAAACCTATTTCCTTGCTTGGTGACTTAAAAGATGAAATTTTATGAACCAACATTAGGGTATTACTAAGGAAGGAAAACTTTATTTGACTTATAATATCATAAAATAAGTATATTAGTTAAAATAGGCGCTATGGTGTTATTATAAATGATTAGATTCTTTCATTTTGAGCTTGAATTTTCATAGATGTGAAGCTATTCGTTGTACCTATTTTCATAGTTATGGTGATGAAAGCTTCACAATCTTATTATTGTATGGCGATGGTATGACTACTAGAGGACTAAACAAAGAATATTGTAACACTTGGGGCCTGTTTGATAACTGGAAACTGAAAGTTCTCTGGAAATTGAGTTTTTTGGAATCCTGAAGTTGGATATTGTGCTGTCTGGAAACAATAAAGACTG